TTCTCGGCCTGGTATCTTCCAATTCACGTAACCAACTAATCTGAAGAGCGCTAGAATGGCGAAGGTGGACTTTCAATTGAAAGAAGGCATTGAATAATGCCATCAAAGCCTGAAACTGAATTTATTCCCACCCACCTATCTTCTGCCTTTGGGCCAGCCCAATCTAAAGAATTAGATTATAGAGGTGGAGAAAATTTAGAGGGAGTGCTTGAATTTCTGAGGGAAAGGAGGGACATAAATCTGACAATAAATGTTTACTGACAGTAGATACAGTCTGTAATATAAAGATGAAGTATGTATTGAAGCATAGGCATTTTATTTTAGTTTTTAAAAGGGAAGATGGTACAGTTGACCTGCAGCATAAATGTCAGCCTACTCACAGCATAACTCAGAACCTTCATCAGAGCCATCTTCACAATCAGCATCTCCATCACACTGCCACCTGTTTGGTATACACTGTCCATTCCGGCAAACAAAATCTGTTGCAGAACATGTCTTCTTCACTGCATAAGAGTAATATTTTGTTAAATTTGCCCACAATACAGGAAGAACTTTGCTGCACAGTTTCAAGTTATTTCAAAAGTTTCCTCCCAGAACTACTAAGGTACTCATACCTATTTGATAACAGCAGACCCAGGAGTCTGAAAAAAAGTAAAACTCATATTTTTTGCATTAATTGCTGAGACAGTTTCCATTTCTCAGAAAGTCACCATAGCCAACTTTATCCTAGTTAGTACAAAGGAGTCTGGTAGCACTTTTTTTTTTTTTTTTTACTAACAAATATTATTAAAAGGCATAAGCTTTTATGAGCTATATCTTACTTCATCAGATGCACACAATGGCTAAACTGATGTACGGTTTAAATTGGGATGAGGTACGGGGGAGGAAAGGGAACAGAGATTGGTTAAGCAGATGCAGGTTACATGTGAGACAGATTGCAATTGCCTATTCAATTAACAATTGTATTCAAAACCCATTGTGTTTGTTGAGACCTTTAGCAATAGCCCGAAACCTTTTGATGCATCTGAGTTCAGCAATCTCTCATGCAATATTGCAGTTAAACTATTTTTTAACCACACAAAACAGCTCATGAAAGGTTCTACCTTTTAATAATATTTGTTAGTTGGAAAAGGCATTATCAGACTCTTTCTAATTTTTGGCTATAGACTAACACAATTCTCCTCCTACGATGCCTAGATAACAAAGTAGTTATGTATGCTAAACATCAGGTCATATTAAAACAAGAAAGGAAAAAGCATATACTAGTATGACTTCAACCACATCATAGGAAAGCAAATGCCACAGGATAGATACTTCTATGAGCTTTTTTTTAAAAGGGGATTCATGCTCAATTCTTCCCTCTCTACCTACAATGAGAAGGAAATCATATACCTTCAATATCCTGGACTTCCAGCCACATCCTGGGGAATGGTAAGGGCAGAGCTAAGGTAGCCTCAACTTACCACACAGAACACTCTTTTGTTGTGTCTGACATCTGAGAAGCAAAGACCCTGAAGTTTTTGTAGTAATTGTGAGAAGATTTGTAAAGATATCTGCTCTGTCTGTCTAGCTCAGGTCAAACAAATGGCATTGCAAGAAGCCCAGTTCTGCTTATGGGCTTCAATACCAAGGTCAATGTGAAACTCTTGGCAGAACTAGCAGTCCTATCCTAAGGTATTCAGATTATGGCTACTATTCCCATAGTCGCTTTAGATGCTTTGATAACCCTTCTTAAAGCTGGAACTATTATTGTAATTATTATTCTTCCTGGCTGGCTGTCAGAGCCATGCTGAAGACTATCTTACTATTAGGATAGAGCTAGTTTAGCATAGTGGATAAGGCATCAGGCTGGAAACTGGGAGATTGTGAATTCTAGTCCCGCCTTAGGCACAAAGCTGGCTGGGTGACCTTGGGCCAGTCATTCTTGCTCAACCCTAGGAAACAGGCAATAGCAAGCCACTTCGGAAATCTTGCCAAGAAAACTGCAGGGACTTGTCCAGTCACCAGGAGTCAAGACTGACTCGAAGACACCAAAAAAAAAAAACCCCAACTACTAAGAGACTGGATCAGTGGTCATATTAAGCCTTACCGCATGCTAGTTCATCACTGCCATCAGAGCAGTCTTCATCCCCATCACACCGCCACACCAGAGTTATGCAACGGCCATTGTGACACTGAAATTGTGATTCATCACATGTTACTCTTGTACCTTGAATTGAGAAATAAATTACAGTTAGATCCAATAGACTTTGAAGCAGCAGAACATATCAAATACAGACTTTAGGAATGATAATTCCAGTCCTCTAGGAACTAAAGTAGACATAGAATGTTTTTTCAGGCGATTATAAAGTGATGATGCAATCATTGCTCCTAAAATGCAATTCTTCATACGTCTCAATTAATAAACCTTTATTCATTAGATTTGATTTAGACTGAGACTGACATGGTTATTTCTAAAAGTATGTTGGGCAAGTAATGCACATGAGGTAATATAAAGGAATTTGTACCACCTTACTTCATTGAGACTATATCTTTTTTAAGCAGTTTTATAAAACACTGCACCACATGTGGATGGAGGTATATGTACATACTTCTATTTCATTTATTTGCCTATACAGCAATTCTAGATCACTCCATTCCCAAGAGACTAGTAGAAGATATCTGAATGCTTAAAAAAAATAAGTTAGGTGAGGCATCAGTCTATTAAGGAACCTTGGATGCAACACTGGGGAAAAATTCTATGGGATATTTGGAGAGGCCAGAAGACTAAGTTTTTGCCAAATCACCAAAAACAAATACAACTTCCTTTCTAAATTGTAAACTTATATATACAGTACAAGGAATGCTCAGCAACCAGTCTATGACCAACTAAAAACTTGATACAGCACCTAGAGCTGAGACAGTGGCAGTGACAATTAAGGGGCATGGTTATAATTACCCTGCAGAAACTCTGCAAAACCTATTTGTGTTTTTGCTGGTCACTGATCGAATAAACATTATTAGATTATTTGTAGAAAATGCACAGAATATTTGAAAACAATACTCTATTTGTGTTTTTGCTGGTCACTGATCGAATAAACATTATTAGATTATTTGTAGAAAATGCACAGAATATTTGAAAACAATACTCTATTTGTGTTTTTGCTGGTCACTGATCGAATAAACATTATTAGATTATTTGTAGAAAATGCACAGAATATTTGAAAACAATACTGGAAAAGACATGCAGGTAAGAGTAGAAGAAAGTGATTGGAGTCAATTAATGAACCATTAGGATTCTGTGAATCAAGCAAAATCTGATTCAAATAATCTATTCAATTTGGAGAATCGATCTCATTCAGAAAATCAATCTGATTCAGATGTTCAAATTCAATCATTCAGATTTCCACATCAGTTGAGAAAAAGCTATTTCTTAGCATATACAGAAGCATTATCCAAAGGGCAAATAGCAAATCTAAATATATCTTCTGGGTTGTAAGAAGATTTATATTCTATAAAGCACCCCATTCGTCCTGGAATGACAGAGAAGAAATTATAGATGGATAAGAAAACTATTGTTTTTTTCTTTCTTCAACAATGGGGAAGAAAATTGAGCCAAGTCTGGAATCCAATAACACATTTTGTCAATGATGGAGAAAAATGGAGAAAATGTTTAACAAAATTGTGCTTCAAAAAATTTAGCACAGGTATACTCTATTCAACTGGAAGTATTGAAAACCAAGAGGTCATTTCAAAAGGCTAAGTGGAATAGAAAGGTGTTTAAGAACTTATCTTCTGATGCTGAAAGCAAACTGCCCCCAGGGAAGAAATACAGCTGTAACACTGTGGTGCAAATATAAATTTGACATGAAATACATTGTCTTGGTACACTGTAAGAACTGTTCCCTTGTTTGGTCTTGCAGGCAGTGCTTTTTTTCCTTTTTCAGACTTACTACAGGAAATATAGCCCATCTATATCTTAGACCTAAAAGCTCACGAAAATTCAAAGGAAGCAGATGCATCCTCCATACAGGTCTAGAATACATTTATGAGGGGCATCAGCAACTTGCATATTTTGGCATTATGTTTTAGGGGCTGATATAACTTACATGACATACTGGTTATTATACAAATTGATCAGGAAACGTTGCTCTACTTTAAGAACTATTAGCTCTCGCCCCCCCCCCAAAAAAAACACCCTTGGATACAAACTCTTGGGTAATTTGAACAAAAACCAACCTCATTTTTTCAACAAAACTGAATTAAATCAGATACACATGTAAGATATTGGCTAAAATGGATATTGTCCTTTCTACTTCACCACTTTCTAGGAAAACATGGTCTATGCTATAGAAAGGTATGGAAGAGGGCCATAAGAATAAGCATGGAATATTATTGTTAAAGGAAAAAGAACCAACTGCTATGATTTATGTGACAGAACAACTAAGGCTGATAAAGTAAATTTATCAAGGACGCAACTCCATATCACATGGAAACTTGGTATCTGCCACAACTTGATATCTGCCACATATCTGCCAGTTTGTCTCTTTCATCATACACAGGAATAGAGAAAATTGCCTTATGCCACATATGATCCTAAATTCTTGTAACTCAGTGAACTCAAAGTAAATTAGCAGCAGATTTACAGAATCTCCTATGAGAATAATTCCCAGTTCCATATGAAGATACCAGAGATTAAACATGGGACTCTCGCACATAAAGCTAAAGCATGTATACCGCCACTGAGGAATGGTCCTTCCAATACAGCAAAATATCAGTGAGTTTCATTTCCTTGCAGTGGAAGAGCTACTTGTTCCTCAGATCTTACCTAGCAGAGAAAGAGCCACCTAGTGTGTAATCCATACAAAATGAAAATAAATAAATAAATAAACAAATAATAAATCACTGCTCAATACTGTCCAAATATACAGCCAAGATATTGCAATGGAGTTTGGACTGGACAAATGTGCCACC